TATTAGAGCCGCAACATTTTTACAACTTGAGGAACGAATGTTTTTTATTAGGGCTAAATACAAGTGTTTGTACTGGTGTTTATTAGTTTAAAAAAATTTAATGCTAACGATTTACAGAACCATTCTTCCCCATGGGAAAAATGGGAACAAGTGTTTCCGGGCCAGCAACCTAAAGGACCGTAGTACCGCCGTTTGGCCACCAAGACGAATATTCTACTCAAGAGTCCGGCGCAACTTCCTTGGGGCTTGCTCGGCCCCACAGCGCATCTCTCGAAGCCAGCGGAGAACCATCTGGAGTGGGGACCGTGGGACTTCCAGCTCTGTCACGGGGGGAGAAGAGGGGTGTCAGACGGCTGCTTCTTACTTCCTCGCCTGCTGGCCGAAATTCTGGGTTGGCTGTGCCTGGGCTGGCAAGCCAGAACCCGGAGATTTTCTGACAGTTTGTCTCGTCTCTGCCTGGGCGGGGACCTCTGGGCGACGTGACCTCTGGCAGCTTGGTATCTTGAACCGAGCTGCTGGGGCGGCTGGGTGAAGGACTGCCACCGTGGAGGGAGCGGCTGGACCAGTCGAGGGAGTCAAAGGGTGGACGGGCCTCATCTTCCTTCTTTTTGGACTCGCATCTCTTCTCGCATTGGGCTCAGCGCAGATCCAAAATTCCCTCGGCGAACTCGACGGGCATGTCCAGCCACATCCTCCTCGTTTTCCGGTCTGGGAGATGTCTGTCTTGCGCTGAGGTTGAGCCATGCTCACGTCTTTCACTGTCACATTTCCCATAGATTTCCCATAGCCTTTGCACGTGGCTTCTGTTTGTTGACGGCTGCAGTCGATATGAAATTCATTGCTAGAGACAGATGGTCTGATGATCGCGGCTATCTCGGTTTCATACTTTTGCCGGTCCAGGGTTGCTCGATATTTTCTCTCGTACAGTCTCCGCTTGGTTATGCGTGTAGTGTCAGCTGGGAATATGTTCAATTGCGCTGGCGGTTATCAATCTGCTGCGGCTTTGTAGTGCAACGTTCAGTTGCATTGGTTTGATCTGGAATCTTGTGTTTCTTTCCGCCTTCTGGGCTCGCAGTGTGGGGTTCCTTGCTTGGTGCATGATCTCTCTGTGCTTTTTCTTGTGTGAGGAGGTATGCTGCACCAGCGGTTTCTCAATTCCGATAGTTGTCTCCGCTCTTCTTCCACGGAGTACGATCACGTTCTCCGAAACATTCTTCCGAATGACTAGGTATATGGTTTTTAGTTGACTTCTTTGTTCCCTGTTGTGTGGGGCTATAATTATTTTTTTCCCTGCGTTGTAAGGTAATTTGGTAGGTCTCTCTTTGGCCATTTCATGGCCATTTTGGGGTTGTTCCAGTCTGGCTGCGGCGGTAGCGCGTGACACATTGTTTTTTGTTTGTGTTTTTCTTTGTTTTACTGGCCTTTTGCAGTCTCATTTATCTTTATTTTGATCATGGTCGAAGCTGTGTGATGCTATCGCCTTCCCGTTTTTCTGAGTGTTTGTTTTTGGTTTTCATTTTTTTCTCCGTGCGTCGTCAGCTCTGAGCTCCTGATGAACTATGAAGATGTTTTCTTCCCTGCTTGCGTGCAGGATTCTGGGTTTTGTCTCTTCTTATTGTGACAGGAGGTATATCCTGAGGTCTGTTCCTCTGTCATCCTTCCTTATACAATTCCAACTTATGGTAGTCTTTCTGCGGGTCTGGACTATGGTGAGGTTCCAGCGGGTGTTTTCCATGCTTGTGTTATTATGCGTTGGGGCTTTTCGTCGCATTCGTCATTTATGCCGTCCCTGTCTGCTTTGCTACCTTTTATTTGTGTTGTGTTTTTTGTGTTTTGTTTGTGAGGTCCCAGCCTTGATCTTGACCGGTCTGCACTGGCTCACGTGATTGAGCCGATACCTTTGACACATTGTGCCGGGCGCTCTCTATGCTCTGTTTGAGTGACGGCCTCATGTCATGATTTTCATCCGATAAATCAGGGGACATGAGGGGGGTCCTCGACTCGACAGGCATAGCTTGGCGAGGCTAGCCGTCGGCGGAGGCCCTCCGTGGTGAAAACGAGCACAATGCCCGCATGAGCCGGGTTGTTCGATAGCCTCCTGGGCATGTTGCAGCCTGAGGCAGGACGAGCAGACCTGGTGTGCGTCTGTGTCCGAAATCTTTGACCCACAGCCGCAAAGCCGAGCCTCCGGTTACCCTGGCTCCTCTGGTGTGAGGGAGAGACGTGTCCTTTTTGTTCGCCATATGGCGACCGTAGGAAGGACGCGCTCGTAGCAGGTGCGTTAGCCGAGAAAAATCCTCTCTCAACCTGTCGTTAATTCCGGGGAAAAGACGACGGTTGTAGGATTTATTCCCGAAAGAATATTAACTGGTTTGTTATATTCTTACTTAATCTATTTCTTCTCTGGTGGAGAAGAAAGAAAAAAGCCGTCCCGCTAGCGTGGTGTCGGTAGCAAGGAGGGTAAGCTAGCACCAGGTGTTGCTGCTAGCTTAAATCAAAACCTTACCTTTTCGATTTCCGAAGAAAAAGAAAAAAGGGTGAGTGTCGAATGTGGGCACTAACTGGTGTGTTAGTACCTACAATCTTCTCTTCGAAGAATATCTAAAGGTAGCTCGCGCGAGCGTCCGTCCGATCGAATTTAGCTAGGATAGCTTGGTTCGGTCTGGTGGACTGTGTGAGCTAGCCCGGCTACCAATATAGCGATGTGCTCTGAAGCGAGAAGAGGTGTTTGAATGACGCATGCGACGTAGCACAAGCTACTTATAGGGGGTGGATTCCCTGACGCTGACGTCAAGATCACCTGCCAATCAGGATTGGCGTATGTGAGATTGATGCTTCTATTTGCTCCGCGATGAGGCGCATCCCATAGTGAGACATCGAACGGAGTGTTATGAATGAGAACTACGGTGTAGTTATGCAATGAATGAAAAACTTGGGTCGCAGGTTCCTCAACAGTGCATTACGAGACATCTATCGATATGTGTGTGTACCTCCACCATTAAACTGTCATATTCTGCACATTTCTTATACTATATACATACATAAGAGTATAATTAATGTGTATAATATCAGTTAAAATAAGTTAATAAAATAATTAGTTTGTCTGTTTTGCACATCCTCCTATTAATATCTTTGTCAACTGTTTTATTGTAGAGATCACTTACAGTATCTTCTTGATTTTTTATATTCTATATTTCTATGATTGACCTTCTATTTTCCCCCTATTGTGTATGTACTCTTAATATTGTTTTCATCAAATATAACATTATAAATATAATTCAATAACGTGCTATAACCACTAGGCGGTGCACACCAGGTACACACAGCATACAATTCCATAATAACTTTGTATTATTAGTGTAGGACACTTATGTATGTATAACATCTGAAGATGTGTAGTTTTATTCATGTTTTCACACAATTTTACAGGATATTGCTATACTATTTCACACGTTTTACTTCTACACATTAATGTCTGATTTGTAAAACATCACAGACAGAAAGGTATATCCGTCATTTAATGGTAAGCTATTGAAATTCTGAATCCATAGATGTGTCTCCCATCACCCAAAACCCCTTTACGGCATGAAGAAAACAATTTTAATGTTTTTTTTGGGGTGGGTGTAAATAGCCGAATAGCTGCCGTCATAGGCGGCGCGTGAGGCTCAGGTTTTGGAAGGCTAAATACAATTTTTTACCTGACGCTGCCCGCCTCCGGCGTCTATAGAAAAGAGATCAACTCAGTGAAAGCATCGCCTGCTGACCAATCAGAGCTCAGTGTGCGGGGTTTAAAGCTATCAAGTCATATTACAGGATAAAGGAAATACAGTTTAAATTGCCGTATGCAGAGAAGACGTCGACGTGTCGCACTTATCATTCATATCACATCATCAATTAGATCATCGATCATATAATATCATAATGTATCATATATTTCCTTATCTGAGTCAGCTTCTCGAGCCGTATCTGGCC